TGGAGGTTATACGAAGACCTGCACAGACAATTTTCTGTCTTAGGCTGTAGTATCCCTTTGGAACTTTAAATATTAAATTTGAAACAATTCCGGTCAATAATGTCGCTAAAACCATCAAAATACCGAATATCGGGAGGTACCGTTATATGGGGGCTGTATGAAAACGTGAACCTACATGGTCCATTTACGAACTTAACCTACCTACTGGCAAAATATATATGTCTGCAAAACTTTAGCCTTCAATCTCAATTCGTTCGAATGATAGCGTGATTACAAAGTTAATATACCCTCCATAGTATGGTGGAGGGTATAAAAAACGAATTGAATGAATTTTGTTTTTCACAATGATTGGGCAATTTGTAGGTAATTTAGACACCTTTTTATCTCAAATCATTCTAATGTATAATACCAAAGATTTAATATACAGTCTATTTTGAATGCTGTCGCATTTAGTACAAACAATCTACCACACACATCTTCGATATGTAGGGTATGGGTATCGGAAAAATAAACAAAATCTAGTCATGTCCATGTTGGATGGTTGATGCAACATTCTGCGGCGACAACAACTATGTAAACGTGCATGTGTGCTCAAATGTAACTCCTCTCCCCCGAAAAAAAAAAAAACAACTTACAATGGGAGCAACATTCCGTAAGTTTTGACCCTCTATTTTTGTAGTGGCTGGGTAGTTCGTCTTTTTTTGTGCAACTTTTACAAAATACTTTGAATGCAGTTCAAATCTTTGGAAAATTACTTTAAATCACCAAAAAAAAAACTTTTTGGGAAAATCCCTCATTTTTGGGGCCTTCTTTTGGATCTCCTCGATATGTGCATAGCTATTGGTTTCCTACTCATGTTGCTTTTCATGGCATACTTTCCTTTTTCTTTTTTTTTTTCTAAGTTGTGTGCGGCGTAAATGTCCTGTTTGCCCTGTCCTGTTTCAAAGTCACGTCGCTCGTTTGTATATTTTAATGCAGCAGACAATGGCCGGGTCAAATTGCAAAAATTACTGCAACTCTATTAGTGGCGCATGTGGAATTTGTGAATGGGTATTGGGGGGGATTTTAAGACGTATGTGAGCGAGCTTGAATATTTCTTTTCCCAACCTACATTAGCTAAATTGGCAATTTGAATTTTATGTTGCATTAAACGTTCACATGGTAAGCCATTCACAATGTTCTTCATATCGCCTTCTATTTTTGCCGTTCATATCATTTTATAGACGAGTTTATTTTTACAACTTTATAATAGGGGGAGGCGTTTAAGGTTGTAATCGGTATTAATTCTTGTAGCGGGAAATTGTATTAATGTTATTAGCTACTCTTTAAAGAAAATGAAATAAAAATTCAGAAAATTAGAATCAAATATTAAATACCTGAATTCTAGGTGCAACTTAATTGAAGGATAAGGTGGGGAACTAAGGATTCTAGTCTATTCAGTTAAAATTTAATATTCTAAATTCTAAGTGAGTTCTTTAATTCAAACACAAAATTTGGACTTAGTATTAGTCTTAGTTGTAGATTCCAAGGACTGGCAATTGATCAAAGGGATTTTTTCTTGAAAAAGTGCTCAGAAATTCTGAATTTTTATCTCTGCTATGTCAAATTTTAATGCCCTACACCACACAGTGGTCAGAATATTATGTCGTTGTGCATTTCTTTCTACCATGGAGAAGGGAGCGAGATAGACCCATAGTTGCTTTTGAGGATTTTCTTAGAATCACTTTCTGAGTCGATGTCAGTCCGTCCGCCAGTCCGTCCGGCCATGTATTTTTGTGAACAAAATACAGATCGCATTTATTATCCGATTGAGATGAAATTTTCCAAACAATTTTTGTTTGGACCACGGACGAAGCCTATTGAAATTTGGGAGAATTGGTTCAGATATAGCTCCCATATACATGTTTCATCCGATTTGGGGTTTTAAGTCCCTAACATGCGTAATATACTTTCCACATGAATAATCTTTAGTACCTGATATCAGATAAAGCTCAAAAATATGCGTTAAAAATGTTGTCAAGATCGGTTCAGATTTGGACATAGCTCCTATATATCCAATTTGAGGATTATTGTACAACAAATGGCCAATATCAGCACAAATGGACTGAATTTAGGCATTTCCGCAGGTATTCTGCCTAAAAGTAAGTGCTCAAAATTTTGGTGAGAATAGATTCAGATATAGCTATAGCTCCCTCCCATGTGTAGTATGCACTTAACAAGAATCATATTTGATACCGCATCAAATACTCCTCGAAAATACCTCTGCAAAATTTTATTGAAATCGGCTCAGAGATATGAGATCTTTATGCGATTTTGCGGTTATTGCGGCCATACTTACTCTCAGAAACATGGCTAGAGAGGGTATATATCATTTGATGCTGCCAAAACGTGACTCATCGAAATAACGATTTTAGACCCTTGGTCTCTTTGGTCAAAATCCGTTTCAGAACGTATTTAATCGATCTAGCGATGTGCGTCCGTCCGTACATCCGTTTGTCTGTCTGTCTGGCTGGCGCGCACGATATCTCTCGAAAGGAGTATCCAATTTGGTCTAAATTTGGTACGTCGTAATATTATTAGCAAACTTAGGTCGAGTTCGGAGATGGGCAACATCGGTCCCTTCCTTCTAGTTACTCCCCCACAAAAGGTCGAAATTTTCAAAGAAATATTTTACTGCAAAGAAAGAAAAATGATAATCCGATTTTGCTCCATGTTTGCAAATCCCAATTTTTGCATCATGGCTAGGAGAGGTGCAAAAATGGACAATATCGGTTCACTCCATCAAGTGCCCCCTATAAATGGGCCAAATTGTGAATAATTATAACTCTTATAAAATTAAAAAATACAAATATCACAATATTTATATTAAAACAAGATCTGGTGTTAAGATAAAGCATATCGGTCCATTCCATCTGATACTTCTTCTGGTCAAAGTTTTAAATAACAAAGCGATCATAAAATCCGAAATCAGCATCCGGTGCTCTTCATATCTTATATATCCCATTATTTATACTAACACAAGATCTGCTGTGAGTACCTGTCCTACAACGGGTGAAAAATTTGAATAACCATAAATCTTAGAAAACGCGAAATTAACATCAGATTCCATTCAGACTTGGCACATCTCAATATTTCCATCAACACAAGATCTTTTATAAAAATCGGAAATCTCAGAAAAAGGAAAATTCATTTTGGTCCCTCCTTCACAAAGGGTCAGAGTTTTGAATAACCAAAACGATGAAAAAATCCGAAATAGGCATCCTGTTGTTTGGGGATATACAGGGTGAGATAGAAAAACTGCAACAAAGTTAAAAGTCATAATTGTTACATTTTTTTGGCACGAATTATGACCTTCAAACGGCCAATGAAACCGTTACACGCTGCCCGAATGTTGCTCTACGGTATTTTCGCCCATTCCCGGCGAAGCACTTGCTTGAAGTGATCGACACTTTGGTATGTTTTAGTGCCAACCTTGCTTTCCAAAATACTCCAGACACAATAGTCCAACGGATTGGTATCCGAAGATTTTGGTGGCCATTGTGCGCTGGAAATGAAGCGAGGAACTTCATTTTGTACCATTCTTGGGTGGCGCGTGCTGAGTTCTGTTGGAATGTTCGTGCCCAAGGTTTTAATACACTCTCCAGAATATTTTCGCGATAATATTCGGCATTTATTCTGATGCCACGGTCGATTAATACGAGCGTAGAGCGACCATCAGCTGTTATGGCGACCCACACCATCGCCATGACTGGCGCTTGAGTTCTGGTGGCCAACCGAAGGTGTACATTTCCAGCTGACCTCTTTGGCAAGTAAACCCGATCATTTTGTTTGTTTACAAACTACTGGACAACGAATGTTTTCTCCTCGGAGAAAACCAAATTCAGCAGTTAAACACTTTCGGCCAAGCGAAGCAACTCTTTAGCTCTTTTGAGTCTATTTTCTTTACGTTGCGGTGTAAGTTCTTGAAATTTTTGGAATTGCAATGGCTTACACCGAGCTAATTTTTCAATATTTGCCGAATGGAATATTGCGATATGTTCAGCTCACAAGCCATTTATCGGCCACTGCGACGCGGGTTTCGATCAAGTCCCTTCTTCACTTTTCGAACCATTTCTGCTGATTTTGCTGTTTTTTCGTCCACTTCCTTGACGTACGAGACACAAAAGATTTTTTCACATTTAAGTGCTGCGTGTGGTTTTCCAGTCAAGTATAAAAAAATCACACTATTATAGCTGTCGGACGAGTGGCGTAGAAGTGACAGCAGTCTGAAGTTGGTTGCAGTTTTTTCATCTCACCCTGTACATCTGTCGGCAGATCCAACTGATACGTTTTAACTTATTTATAATTTTATCGCCAGCAAAACCTTGAATTTTTAAATCAATATTTCGGTGCCCGCATTCTCCCCCTCAATAATTGAATAGAATACGCAATCGCTTTATAACTCAATTCTTATTTTATGTTTCTCTTCTTTTTTGCCTTTCGAAACAACATTAACGCAAAATTGTATTAAAAAATTTATATTAATTTTATGATCCAATGATGGCGTAAAAGTGTTAAAACATCATCATAAAAATGAACCAAAAAAATACGAGCTGTGGTAACAGGTGGTGCTCACCAAAATGTAGAGATATGAATATTTGATTGAAGTTTTCAATGGCTTTTCTATTTACAATTCTCTGGAATTTTGCTCTTTATGGCCATCATGTATGCATATCAATGTCGTTCGCTTGATGTGTGGAAAGGATATAAAATGGGCATTTCAAAAAAAAAAGTTTGATAAGAATGGGCAATACGTTTTAATATTTCTTTGATGACAGGAAGAATGGATATTCATGTCAGGCCTTTGCTGTTGCTGCTACATAAAATGGGTTATGAAAATAAATTCATAAAAATTAATGATTTTATATGCGTTTCTTGTTTTAAATGGCATATCCTTTAAAAAATTCTCATATTTGTTTATGATATTCATATTCTTTGTATTCTTTGTTTTCTATTTCTAGTTCTGGGCTGCCTATGTTCCATGTGAGGCCCAACATCGAGATGCAGTACAACTAACATTAGAACAAATCGATGTTATCAAACGTTTGACAGATCGTTATTCACCGCAACTGACGACCTGCACCTCAGCACAAGGTAAGTACAAAGTTCAGAAAAAGAAATTGAAGAAGGACTCTTTAATTTTATTTCTAAATACGCAACATAATATACAACACACGCTAACTACTAAACCATTTACAAAATATGGATTTAATAAAAATATCTTAAGGCTTATGGTCCCAGAGGGAATACATGATTTTATATGGGCAAAAAACACACTTGATTCTAGATGGTCAGGGAAAACAAAGCTGCCAGGAAGGCTCAATACTTCATTACAAAAAAAAAAAAAACTGGGTTGTTTTCGAAGAAATCCGTTTTAGTATCTGATTTCCGTGGTTTTTTCATTCATATTTCAAGGAGCTTCTTTTTTGTTTTTGAAAATTGAGTGTAACTTCCCTGTTGAAACATCTATTCCTCTGTAAGGAATGTACAAAAGTCGAACGGAGCCGACTATGTGATACTCTACACCACTATGCATATTTAGCAGAGCTCCCGTAAGAAAAATTTGGCAAAGATATTTCAGAGCTGTATTTGATATATTTCCCTGAATATCGTTGTTACGGAGTGCATACTACGGCTGTGGGTAACAAATATGACAAATCGGATGAACAGTATATATGGGAGCTATATCTATATCTGAACCGATCTTCACCAAATTTGACATACTAGCTTCTAGACTTAATTCGGTCGTAAGTTCCAAGTATTTGGGCAAATATTAGACGTTTGGTGCACAATAAAAGGTAAATCGCACGAAGTTATATATGGGAGCTAAATCCAAAGCTGAACCGATCTCGATAAAATTTAGCAAAGGTATTTCTGAGCTGCATTTGATATATTTCCCCAAATATTGTTGTTACAGAGTGCATATTATGGCTGCGGAGGACAAACATAACAAATCGGATGAACAATATATATGGGAGCTATATCTAAACCGATTTCGATAAAATTCGGTGTACTTATGTTGAGGTCCAATCTGATCATAAGTGCAAAATTCCATACTATTCGGACTGACATTACACGTTCGGTGCACAATAAAAGGCAAATCCGACGAAGATATATATGGGAGCTAAACAAATGGCTTGGGCCAAACAAATGATTTGTGGATAGGACAATAAATGCGAACTGTACTTTGTTTACAAAAATACATGGACAGACGGAAGAACGGACGGACGGACAGGCAGACGGACGGACGGACATGCATAAATCTACTCAGAATGGGATTCTCAAAATCATCAAAAGGAACTATGGGTCTATCTCGTTTCCTTTTGCCTGTTACAAACAAATGCACAAAGACATAATACCCTGATCACCTAGTGGTATAGGGTATAATTACAAACAAATGCACAAAGACATAATACACTGACCACCTAGTGGTGTAGGGTATAAAAAGCTTATATTAAGAATTTATGTAAAGTAGATTATTTCAATGCGAATCATGGCTTTAGAGTATTCACAATTTTGGAACTATATCCAACTCTGAATAGATTTTCAACAAATTTGACGGAACCATTTGTACCCCTGGTACCAAATAATATTGCAGTATAGCTGGATAGTATACAGGGTGAGACTGCTGTCATTCCGACAGCTGTTAAAACTATTCCAGTGACAGCTCATTATATTGTTGACAAGCGTACAAAAGCTTTTTGGTGAGAATTTTCCAGAAAAAAAAAAATTATTCGTTATGGAATTCAAGCGTTATAGTGTGATTTCTTTTTATTTGGCTGGAAAACCACAAGAGGCTATCGTTAGAACACTCCAGCATTTAAATGGGAATAAATCTCGTACCATCACTCGTTACCGTGATTCTGGTAGCGTAGCCCGACGTCAAGGAAGTGGACGGAAGAAAACAGCAACATCAGCAGAAATGGTTCGAAAAGTAAAGAAGCGACATGATCGAAATCCGCGTCACAGTGTCCGAAAAATGGCACGTGAGCTGGACATATCGCAACATTCCATTCGCAAATATTGAAAATTGAGCTCGTGTTAAAGCCATTGAAATTCCAAAAAGTGAAAATAGACTCGAAAGAGTTGCTTCGCTTGGTCGCAAGTGGTAAACTGGCGAATTTGATTTTCTCCGATGAGAAAACATTCCTTATCCAACAGTTTGTAAACAAACAAAATAATCGTTTTTCTTGCCAAAGAGGTCAGCTGAAAATGTGAACCTTCGGTTGGCCACCAGAACTCAAGCACCGGCCATGGTGATGGTCTGGGCCATAACGCCATAACAGCCGATGGTCGCTCTCCGCTCGTAATAATTGACAGCGGCATCAGCTTGGGCTTGGGCACGCAAACATTTTGGCTGCAAACTTTGGACATACCAACAGGACTCAGCACCATCGCACTCAGCACGCGCCATCCAAGAATGGTCACAAAATAAGGTTCCTCGCTTCATTTCCAGCGCACAATGGCCACCAAAATCTCCGGATACCAATCCGTTGGACTATTGTGTCCAGAGAGTCGATCAGCTCAAACAAACGCTTCGAACAAATCTAAACTAATTCTAAAATTTGATGCTATTTCCGACATTTTTTGCCTTCATTCAATAAAATTTAAAAAAAGGTAAAAATATGGCGTTTGACTTTGTTGCAGTTTTTTTATCTCACCCTGTATATATTCCTGATCAGCGTCAAATTCTAAGACGATTTAGTCCCATCCGTCCGTCCGCCTGTACGTCTGTTAGAATCACGCTAGAATCAAAGCGAATAAGATAGGAAGCTAAATCAGTTTTTTTTTCGGCAGGCAGATCAATTCTGAAGATGGCCTATATCGGAGCACGATATCTTATGGCCCGTATATAACAGTACCTCCCAATATTCGGTATTCTGATGATTTTATCTACATTTTGCAATGGAAGAAGAAGAAGTTCTTCTAAGCACTTTACCGCCTGGAAGAGATTTGTCTACATAGGTCCACGATATCATATGGCACCCAACAACTGCACCCCCGATATTCGGTGTTTTGATGATTTTAGGGACATTATTCACTGAAGTTGTTTCAAAATTTCTATTTAGAAATTGTAATTGGTACTACAGCCTATGACAAAAAATTGTGTATGCAGGTCCACGTCTTCATATAGCATCCATATTCGGTATTTTGATGATTTTAGCGGTATTATTACCGGAATTTTTTAAAATATCGTAATGAGAAGTACAGTCTATGACGGAAAAATTCCTATGCAGGCTCAGATATAGATAGATATAGACCCCCTATATTCGGTATTTTGACGATTGTAGGAAAACCGAAATTGTTTTAAATTTAGTATATGCAGTTCCTAATATGTACAACAGCCAGTGACATTAAATTGTCTTGGCAGGTCCAGGTCTTCGTATAGCCACCATATAACGGTACCTTCCTATATTCCGTATTTTAATGATTTTAGGGAGATTTTTCACCGGGACTGTTTCATATTTCGTATTTGAAGTTTCTAATGTTTACTTCAATCTACGACATGCAGGTCTATGCAGGTCCACGTTCTCGTATAGCCCCCATATATCGGTTCCTCCCTATATTCGGTATTTTTGACAATTTTGTGAACAATATTCACCGAAATTGTTTTAAATTTTCTTATATGAAGTTCCTAATAGGTACCACCGCCTGCGACATTAAATTGTCTTGGCAGGTCCAGGTCTTCGTATAGCCACCATATAACGGTACCTTTCTATATTCAGAATTTTAATGACTTTAACGGTATTTTTCAACGGATTTTTTTCAAGTTTCGTATTCGAATATTGCAATGGCCTATGACAAAAGATGGCTATGCAGGACCACGTCTTCGTTTAGATATATACGGTATTTTTAATATTTTAGCAGAATTTGGAATTTCATAACGATATTTTTAATTTGATAACTGCTACTTAATTTCGTGAAGAATTTCACATTTCAAAACAAATAAAAATAAAAAAAATCCATCTTATTTTGGCACTTTCATTTCATTGCTCTCTTAAAGCCTATAAGACTTAACTTCGACCCATTTCGCTTGCAGAATTGTTCCATTGAAAGCATTCACTTATTATTATTGTGTTTTTATTTTTCTGTGTCGGCACAAGAGTCACTTCACTGCCATAATGTCACTTTTGGCATTCCCATTCTCAGTGCTATTTTTTCTCCATTTTTTTTAAGTTTGATGATTTTCTCGGCATTTGCTTTTTGTCCAATTTTGTGTCGACGAAATACTGCAACTCCCCGAAAACACTTAGTAAAACTGCAGTTAAAAGCCTGATGCTAGCGCAGCCGAACAAATAGAAAAAAAGTACACTGAGAGAAGTTCTGTTTATTTTTTTTTTTTTTTTGCTGCTGCTTCTGCTTGTTTTCTTTATGAATTATGGGTTGCCCAAAGTTTTTTCTTTTCCTTTGCAAACATACCTCCCAAGAAGTGGCTTCTGGGAACGTTAGTTTTTTTTTTGGCGTCCACCTCTTCATCTTCTTTTCCTTCTCCTGTATAAACATCAATTTGCAGCACATTAAAAAAAGGAAAAACAGAAATCCGAAATGGCAGTGCTTTGCAATGAAATCAGTCAGTGAAAATGGCAAAAATGGTTGCTTGCCTCAGAAAAATGCTGAAAAAATATTCCGAGTCTGGTTATACCCTACACCACAAGGTGGTCATGGTATTATGTCTTTGTGCATTTGTTTGTAACAGGCAAAAGGAAACGAGTTAGACCCATAGTTCCTTTTGATGATCTGCATAGAATCACATTCTGAGTCGATTTATGCATGTCCGTCCGTCCGTCTATCCGTTCGTCCGTCTGTCCGTCTGTCCGTCCGTCCGTCCGTCTGTCCATGTATTTTTGTAAACAAAGTTCAGGTCGCTTTTATTGCCCGATCCAGATGAAATTTTGCAAAGATCTTTTGTTTGGCCCAAGGACGAACCCTATTGAAATTGGAGATAATCGGTCAAAATTTAGATATAGCTCCCATATATATCTTCGTCCGATTTGCCTTTTATTGTGCACCAAACGTGTAATATCAGTCCGAATTGTATGGAATTTTGCGTATACACCCAAATTAGGCCCGAAAATGTGTATGCCAAATTTGAT